TGGAAAAGTCGGAAAGCTGCTTGTACGCCTTAAATTGCATTATTTAATGAAACATTGATAAAATGCAAACTTCGTACATAGAAGAAGCTACTCTAAGCAGCCTAGTGTGAGAGTTTTCAGGTTATTTTGTTTTCTTTCTAAGGCAAAATATGTCCTCGTGGTGGCCCATTGCCCTTTACAAAGTTTTTACCGTAATCCTAAAAAGAGCGATTGGTGATTTGCTCCATACTGTAAATCTAGTTGAAGCCAGCTTTACAGAACGTTCGCGAAAGCAGGCAAACAACTTTCTGAAAAAAGAGGTATTAAAGATCAAACAGTGGGTACATATGTTGTAAGTCCTCTTATCTTTACCCCTTGGCATGTTCTTGAGGATGAATAATTTCAGTTGTTATATTATGCTGTAACAGGTTGTTATAGATATACTTTATATACTATTGATACTTTACTGATATACTTTATTATACGACGTTTCAACAAGACGCCGTCTTTAGGGGGTGAAAAGGCGTCAATCACATTGATGCAGACGATCTCTGCCGCCAAATATCTCCACCGACTTGCCACTCGATTCGTCTTGAGTGAAGGCAGGGAGTTTGAGGGCGAAGGTTCACCCACCAAGTATATCACCGATGTTGTAGCTAACAGCCGCTTCGGGTGTGCTTGGTCGGGTGCGGTGTCAAATGGGCACCCAAGCTACTGCGGAACTGTTTAAGTAGGACACACAATCTTATAGTTTACAGTATGACAGATACGGCATTAAGTCATTCTTGATAGATAATTTCTCATTCTTGCTGTTTAGTTTGGGCTCACGAGTAAGAATGTAGGAGCCTTCCAAGGCTTTTCGTGCGGAAATTTGGTGTTCGTGGGCCAGGATTTTGCACCTGATATCGTAATCATCCGTTATGTTCGGTCATTCTATGCTTTCCCAGTGGACTAATCATGCTTTGCCTTTTTTTGCTAGCTAGATGTTCACTGATACGCACACCTAGTAGCCGGCCGGTTTTACCAATGTATATGGCAGAGCACTTCGTACACTCAATTTGAAATACAACACCAAATTTCGCACAATCTCCGAATTGTCCGTATGGGCACACAACGCAGTTTCTTGTTATACAAGCTTTATCATACAATCTATTGCGTATTAACAGCTTTCTGATGTTGTCTCGCGGGATGTTAACTATGACGACATTTTTCTCAAGCTGTGCTTGTATCAGACACTGTTTGACTGCAGCAGTGACCCTTTCGGAGATAAAAGGCAAGCGTAATGGTACTCTGTTGGTAGCTTGTTCGCCTGTCTTTACAGTGTTTCTTTTCGAACATCCGTGTCGCATAACATATCCATTCGGGGCTAATATTTCGGCTGCCAGCTTCAGTGACTCCTGCCTTTCCTCATTACCGCTGCAGATTGCGTCGCTGTTTTGATCATATTACGTACGACGGCTCGTTTGACAGCTTCTGGATGTGCGGATTTTGCGTGCAAGATAATTTTCTTATTACTGTCTTTACGAAACCACTTCACGTGCACCGTTCCATTGCTCAACATCAGTTGTGTGTTAAAAAACGGTAGCCAACCGCGGTTCTTCCCTCGTAAAGCTTATGTATCTCGACTGTTGATTTATTATTCGGAAACATTCGTCCATTTCGGACTTTGTCGACGTGACTATGCAACAGTCGTCGATATAACGACGATACATAGGCGGGGCTCGGGATAGCACCGGTTCCTCTACTTTGCTCATGAAACATATTGCTAACACGGGTGCTAATCGTTGGCCCATTGCCAGTCCTCTTGTTTGTGCGTAATATTTTCCCGACCATTTGAATATATTGCAATCTAAGTATTCCTTGGTGAGAGTCATGATGTGGCTTTTACTGAGACCATACGTCAACATATGTTTACAATGCAACTCATCTCAGATAAAGCTTGTAAGGCTTTGTCATTAGAAGAATTAGTGAATAATGACTCGACATCAAATGACTCAATTACGCAATCGGACGTGAACTTTGTTTGACGCAAACACTCAAGGAAGTGATTAGTATTGCTCAAGTGGGCGGGAATCTTGTTCAAGAGCTGGCTGATGATTTTGTTGAGGATCCACGATATGCGATCGGTTGGCCCGTTTACGCTGACGATGGGCCGTATCTTGTATGATTCAGCGGAGGTGGAGCGCATTTTGGATGTAGACAGTTTGTGCGTCTTGATTAAGCTATAGAAAACGGGGCAAGTAGGTGTTTCTATCTTGAACCTACTGAAGAGTTTTTCATGCAGACCAGCTTCTCTACCTACTATTGTCCATATGTGGTTTAACCGCTTTCACTGTGAGATAAACTCTTTTTCGGTTGCAGGGTGGTAGACAATTTTATCTGACAGATGCATTTCGGTTATTTCGCGGTCCAGGTTTTGTGGCATGACAACGAACTCTACGCTTTTATCACTGACTGATAGGCGAATGGTGCCATTGTTAGTCAGCTCTCTCAACTCTCTGAGGCCTTCTTGCTGTGCGCGTGTCAAGTTATACTTTTTAAAGTTTCGTTTTCATTGAGAATTTTTAAGATGCTCAATGAGAGTATTCGGCATTATTATTATTATTATTATTATTATTATTATTATTATTATTATTATTATTATTATTATTATTATTATTATTATTATTATTATTATTATTATTATTATTATTATTATTATTATTATTATTATTATTATTATTATTATTATTATTATTACTATTATTATTATTATTATTATTATTCAGTACCTGTTGCGGCATAATATAACAATTGAAATTATTCACCCTCAAGTGGGTACATATTTCTGGGACACCCTGTATGTACCAGTTTTTTTTGAAATTTCTGACAGCAAAAACTTATGCACTTTGTTTCCATTTTTTACTTTTTACTCGTGTACATAGCGAATCGCCTGCATGTAATAGGATGAATTTTCTACCTTTTTACTACAAGCGTCATCTTTTTGTGTCTTTCCTTCATCTGATGTAGCTTGAGTAATCATTCGAAAGAACAAAGCAAGCTCTACAAGATGGCTATCCAAAAGTCTGCCCCAATCGTATTCCACGTAGTTTTAAGCTGAAATATGAAAGTAGCCGAAAACGAACTTTCGTGCCAAAAATCGTATCTCCACTCCAAAGTGTCTAAAAAAATTCCTCATTTGTCCTAGCATATGCTTGACACATCGCATACTCGAATGCACACCTCCTGAACTTTTAGAAATTAAGAAAAAATTGAAAGAGGTAAAATGGCAAACTCCGGCCCTAGACGTCCTGAGCTCCTCCCATGTGATCATATGGCTCATACATACAGAAGTACGATCATGTATTTGTATCCTTTAAAGGTGCCCCAGTTCTTTAGAAACGCTGACGTTTGGGGTAAAAACGGTAAAAAAATTATGAGACACACTAATAAGTGTTGAGTGGATTCAAATGCAACGAACAACAGAAAAATTATTACTGCGAACAGCAGAAAGATTTTTACTACGTTTTCAAGCAGCTATGTACCGCTTTACAGCTCCCAAATTCTCTACCCGTTAATGCCTTACATTATCCATTGACTGTCATGCAGTTCTAAAGTATGGAGGCAGTTTGTGAAAGTAAAGATCGAACGAGGTAGAGGTGTAATAATTACCATCTCAAGTGATATAACTTTTTGATCTGGTATGATGTTCCATAGAGCTTTCACAACATTTGTAAAAAATATTTTGATCTTGCGGAGCTCACAATTTTCGATGGCGATATTAATACGATTTTATATCTGAGATAGCTTTATTCCATGCAACGATGATCACTCTCTGTTTTAGCGAATTCGATCTTCGGCCCTTGATCTCCGGATGAGGCTCTTTTTGACGGAGCTCCAACTTCTCTCCGATTCATTTAGGACTTTTTAAATTTGCATGATTATACAGGGTTCTTAACGTGTATTGGTCTATTCACAGCATCTTTTCAGCAATGAATCAAAATTTGAAATCGAATAAGTTCTGACTTTCATGAATCGATAAGAAGAAAAAGACCTGCTAGGAAACTCTGTTTTGGTGTTCTTCAAATTCAGTCAACAACAGATTTTGTTTAGATAACCATAGTAAAATTTCGAGACCACTTCTGGATCTAACAAGGGAAATATACTTGGTCGAAGTGGGGTATTTATATGAAATGTAAATTGTCTTATAAAACATAGAACGGTGATTCCAAATCTTCTTTCCTTTTCTGCAAAGCGCTTCTGGGAGGGAGTTCTTGGGTTTTTTTTTCGGTGAAAATTCAATGGTTTGGCTAAGGTAAAAACAGGTGTTGAGATCTTTCCGGCGCCTGAAAGGAGTAATGACTGACAAGAGCTTATTAGATAAAAGTACTATTGCATAAAACGCTCTTGTAGTTATCATAGCCCAATTCGAGCTCATAGACTGCACTTTGAACGATTTTATGGTTGCGCGTTCAAATTTTGCTCGAAGGTATTCCCATAACTTCTCTTTCAAAGCGCTTTGCAGTATGGAAAGTAGACTCGGAATCAGCGTTTTAAGCTCTACAAGATAGTATACATTTTATAATGAAACCGGACCAAGTACCCTTCCCTAGTAATTCATAAAAGTATTAATTTTTTCTCATTTGCGAAAGAACTTTTGTCAAGTTTATAGGATGATCGTTGAATAGTCTTCTGTACTTGACTTTATCTAGTGGCGATAAGTTTACATACTTAAACAATTGAAGCTGTTCAATATTGTCGATAATTATCAAAGCAATTAGGGTAATTATAGATTATAGATTATAGATTTGTTCGTAGTTATTGTTGTAACCAGGGTAAAGCGGGGGGTGCGGCACGCGACCGCCGGATACGACCCCCCCCCCCCCTTGGGCCGGTCCCCGGCACGACCCCGCCCCCATTCCCTACCCCCCCCCCCCCCACCATTCCTCTCTTCACCTTATCCCTAGCATTTGCGTTAGAAACAATAGAAAAACCTTCTTTACTTTAAAAAAGCTATCAAAATAAAAACATACAAAACCAAATTACAACACCGTATTATACCGTACACCGATCACACCGTATTTGAACAACAGAACATCAAATGCAGCATCTAGGACATTTACAACAACTCCTTTTGCTTCCGTTGGTCCCACTCTCTGAAAAAAAATTTGCTCAACAACTTTTATTCCAAGTATAAAACTCCTTACGTGTATGAGTACTCCAAAGAACAACTCCGCACTGAATTCACTAACTTTCTTTGCTATCAGTTTCTTGTCATTGCAATGCTCAGCCTGAAAAAGTGTGAAGGAGCGATAGCAAAGAAGAATCAAGAATTTTAAAATTTGGCGAAAACGCATACGATTTTTTGATCCTCGACACTTCGCTCGGAGGGCTCACAATAACCCAAAGCTGCATCCAAAGACCGATGCACGATTCTATCCGGATAAAGACGGATGGGTGAAGTAAATTGTGTGTAGCTGCAAATATACATTTTCAAGCAAAGCAGAAGTATTCTCAAAAAAACTTACAATGGCACATTCAGCGCAAAATGATGGTAAGTCTGACTTTTGACAGAACCGGTACAATACCTTGCAAGCTCCATGCTTTCATAAATATCAGGAAAGAACCTGGAGTAAGCTTACTGTAAACGTGCACATCACAAAACTTTTCAAACTCACTTGATTGATAGACCTCATCAATTGCGAGTTGGTACGAAAAGGTGAGACAGTGCTCGATAACTGCTGCGATGAAGTGCCATTTATAGGAAAGCCTATGCTGTTACAAAGGGTGACCTGAAAAATACATGTAGGACATTTCTTTCTTAATCACATAAGATTTGTCCGCTTTTGAGCAACAGCTAGCGATCAAATATAGAGCTTTGATCATTACATAATGGTGACAATGCTAGTTTTTCTCAGCTGCTGCCCTTGATGGAAAAGGTATGTAAGCCACTGCATATGCCACTGAAAACAATCTTACTAACAGCGACAAAGAGCTGGCAGTTAATCTAGGGACAGCGTTGTTGCTTTCTTCTATACCTCACGCACAATTCGATGAGAAAAAATACGGGTCATCCAACACTCAGACCTTCTACCGGTTGAAGAAGAAAAAAAGAAAGAAGAAAGAAAAAAGAATGTCTAAAGTAGAATGTCTAAAGTAGAGTGGTTCAACGCTTGCTTACCTCCCAGCCAGGCAGTCCACTCCGTTTACGTCATCACAAGGTACCACTGACAACGCATCATCAAGACGCGCTGTTTTTGGGTCTATCGTAAAAATTATTTCGTCGCGAAGGTCGCGACGTTTGCCAAGTTCCTCCTAAAAAACATACATCATTAAAAACTGAAAAAAAAAGCTTCAGACACCAATGCAACTTACGCCATCTTTTGCAGCTTTGCATAGATCCATGAGCTCTTCAGTACTGCTATCGCGCACAACAATCTTCACTTGACCATGGCGTGTCCAGGCGTCAATGGCCGCGCCCGGCTTCCGAATTCATAGCCTGTTAAAACACAGTGAGGGAAGGTTTGTTGGTATGGAACACATACAACAGGAAGGATACAAAAATATCACTTGCCTGGCGATAAACACCAAGTGTAGCATGACCACCAGCTCCTATTTTCAGACTCGTATTCGCTACCAGGACCACCTTGTGTGTGCGGCCCCCTGATCAAACAAATATTGCTTTTCCACTTAGAACAATGCCTCCAACTACAGCTGAACTATAGACGCACAGAAAAGAATACACATCATAGTAAAAAACAAAGAAGATAAACACATTATCTGTCTCTTGCTGTACAACAATGAATATAGTAGCACATCTTTCAAAGAGTAGGTATTAACTATCACAAATCCCTCTAAAACGAATACGAACAATTTTGCCATAGAAGCAATGACTTTTGATAAGTCACAGGATGAAAACTGCACCCTAGCCAGTTTACTCGACGATATTACTGCGATGGAAGTGCCTAAACGGTAGTGGCCTTAGATAGCGAAGAAGCCAGAGAACCTAAAACGAAGAAATCAAGAAAAGAATCAAAGAATCAACCTCATGAACAAAAAGTAAGATTCTAACCTTGTGAGATCAGTTCAACTGATCAAACAAAATCGAAACTGTAGATGAAAACGTTAACAAATCAATAAGGAGTTGAACAGATGAGGAACTTGTCAACAAAAAAAAGAAAGCTGTTAATTTCGCATCGAAATCAAGGTGAAGCATAAAAGAAAAACTGACAGTGCATAAATGCAAAAAGCGGGAAAAAGTGACAGAGGTGTCCTCTACTAACCGTTTCATTGCATATTCTGTCCAACACATAAATTGTTCGCGAATGTCGCGCGATATCGAGCTACTATCGTCTGAGCGATGCAACTCCTGATCTTCGTCCAAACCGATCTAGAATTACGTCAGTTACCTGGAAAATTTCTTAATTACAAAACATACCTTTATCAAAACCGCTTTACGAAGCATGGAAACCAGCTGCGTCGAATAGATTGGGTTCTGGACATTCAAAACGCTCAGCAATTCTTTTCAACCGCAAACGATTGCTTTCCTTCCATACGTTGCAGGATTTCAACCTAACAAAAATATTTTCGCCGTCATCAAATGAAACAGGTGAAACTGGAACTTTACCGGGACTAAATCAGCAAATTTTCCAGTGACAATCCAGTATGAGCTCGCCGTCGCTTTAATGGTGGGCTTAGTCGAGCTGCTATTTCTTCAATGCTTTCGCCCAAGTCATTACATGCCCTGGAAATATAAAGAGAAAGTGATTGAAAATGAGTTGAAGAAAGATAGGAAAAGAGAGCGAGATAAAAGCGAGAAAAAAAGAAAGAAGCCCAAAAAACTGGCTCGTAGATTTCAAAAACTCGCATCTCGCGGCCTTGTGTTTTGCCAATTTTTCGAGCCCTACCGTAACCCAATATTTTTTGGCCACACTTCCCAGCATATGGTTCGCAAAAACCATATGTATCTCCTTCTAAAGAAAAAGGTACGCGGGGAAACAGCTACTACGGAGAGAGGAAGGATCAATCTATAGGATGATATGAAAAAGGCAGCTGTTTGAGCGTTTTGAAGGTAAGTTAATGGCCTGCGGCATTCCCCCCCCCCCCCTCAAAACCTGCGGCAGCCGCAGGTTTTGAGGGGGGGAGGTGCCGCAGGCCATTAACTATATCAAAAAAAACATTTTAAGCGGACAATATTTATATGAATCAATAGCCTAAACCTCGTAGATTCCATAGGGATGTTTTGAGCCTGATTCGTCTTCTTAGCTCTGAGTAATATTTGGTGAAAGCGCAGCGATCAAAAGCTAAAAGCGATTTTGGTTGGCTTCTAATACAATAGTTTGGAGGTCTTCTGAAGCGGGATTCCTGAGGTGGACAAAGAAGGAGTAGTGCTTTGTATTGAGTGCAAGAAGAGGTAGCTTACTCACCGTTAAGATGAAGTTAATCATGTTTTAAATTACTGCTTTATACAAGGTTGTTTACTGCTCGGAGACCTCAGAGTTCGCTGAAACTTGGCGCATAGAGGTTATTCGACACGCTGATTACGACAATTATGCTTGATTAGCGGTACGGTAGGTTACGGTAGGCATACGGTATCTGCAAGTTTGTGTCATGGTTGGGAAAGAGCGTGGCACATCTAAGAACTTAGCTGCAGTCATTTCCCCTTAGAAACCGCTTTTGACCTTGGGTCGATACGCACCCCCCCCTACCTACCTCCCCCCCTTACGACCCCCCTTGCGGCGTGCCGCACCCCCCGTTTTACCCTGGTTATAACTTGTGCATATCAGTCACAACTTTTGTCCTTGACAACCATTCCCAGCGTGGAAGCCCTTAATCCGCCAGGTCATTCCCCCCCCCCCATCGCTTCTTGATAGCATACTTGGCCTAACTTTCATGTAAGCGTCTATCTAAATCGAGTGATAATATGATACCTATTGTTTGCCAGAAGGGAGCATCCAGGTTGCCACGCTCAAAACAATGGCATAAATAGCCCTGAATGCTCACTTCTGGATCAGCCTCGTCCTTATTATCTTCGACTGGATTGGTTACTGAACAAAACAATTCCTACAACGTAGTAGCATCCATCTTGGATACTATATCAAAAATATAAATAACAATGCATTATTATTAAAAAGCGCTGTTCACCACAAAAATACATTTCTCTGCTTTATACAAGCGTGCTTGCAGCAAAAGCGTTGTATCTAAGGTATGCGAGACTAGACGCCTAGACAAAGATTTAAGAAACGAGAATAGTAAAATCAAAGTATGATCTCTGTTTAAATTGTCCCCTACTTTTTGCAGCGCTGAAATGTAACAAAACTGCGGTGCGTTAAATTTTATAAAAGATGCGTATCATCGAATGTGTACTAGACATTACACAGCGAAATTGAACTGGGTAAACTTTCTAGTGCATCCACGCTCGCCAAGTGCAGTCGAATTGCACAATACCTCATATACTATTGCTTGTACGGCTATAGTATAGTGAAGTTGAAATGAGCGAAATTCATGATTTGTCTCTATTGGCACTCTTGTGAACAATTACAGAACAGATCGGAGAAGTGCGATCGATTAGAGGCTTATGCATTGTACTAGTGTAGGGCTGTTTTTACTAGGTCACGCAAGATTGTTTAGGAAACTAAGTATAATTTTGACATAATTTCCGAATCCTATCTCTTAATAAGTCGTGCTAGTGCTATATGTGACCTCCTTATTATGAATAATTGGAAGCTGCAGCACGGAAGAACGAAGTATAGTTGATTAGTTGACTGCACGGACTGGACATCACTGCGAAGCACGCGCCGCGAGGTAAAAGAGAAGCGTACAAGTGGCCAGGCAGCCGACTGCTGCCACAGCCAGGCGTCGATGCTGCCAGCAAAGCCGTTGCAGATGGTACAGTAATTATGCTTGCTCGTCGTCTAAAACTGTTGCAGAGAGGTTTTCTCGCACTTCGTCGCCCTGAAGGGTGCGATATCAACCTCAGTGATAGCATGATATCCTCAAATCTACATCATTTTGAACAGCACTTTCACTATTTATTGAGGAGCATACAATCGAATGAAAAGCTATACAGGCGGTTTTTTTCTCAATTTACAAACAATTACAAAAATGTATAAATAAGAAATCAATTTCTTCTGGCAAATTTTAATATCAGTCTTCAACAACCCATTATTCTATATTACCATTCAACAATTCCATGAACGCTTCAGAATTATAAGGCGTTTCGCGTGGGCTATCGATTTTGGATTTTTTGCTCTTTTTTGGAATTTTTCGAGTACACATGAAAAATACAAGATGTACAACCACGTAGGCTACATGATTAGCTTTGTACTCGTGCCTATCTAGAGGTATGCAGCAGTGGCGTACCCAGGATTTCCGCTCGGGGGGGGGACAAAAATTTTTTTCAAATGAAGGTGCGTGGCATTAGCCACGCACTCCGAAATTATTTTAGGAGTGCTTCTCAAAATTTTCATTTTTATCCCTTATAAGTAACTTTCAAAAATTTCACGACCCATTCTCGGGGGGGGGGGGGGCATCAAACACAATCAAACACTTATTCATTACAAATTCGCCAGTGTACAAGCCATATTCTCACAACATTTCAGCCGAGCCGCGCGTGGTCCGCAGCGTTCCAGCAGTCAACCAATCGACGATATTAGGTCGATGCAAAAAATCGTGTCACTTTTTTTAGGCTATTTTTTGAAACAACTTTCTCCTATCAAACTTTCTTTTTCGAGGCAGACTTCGCATACCATTGCAAAGCTTTCTTCATCCACTTCCTAAAAGTGGTGCGTTTCTGCTTCTACGCTCATGTGTGAGAACTTCACCAGCATTCTGCACAGAAGCGCTAGAAATCGTATGCTTTCAATTCCTTGGCAGCAATTCAGGCGCAAATCACCGAATTTTTTTTGAGAACGTAATACTATATGCGATGAATATTATTCACTTAAACATGCTTAATATTTTTCGAAAACACCTGGATTGACAAATCGATTCCCCAAACTATATATTCTCTGCTGACATTCCATGTGCCAAAACTTTCTCATGATCAAAGCAATCGCCAAAGCATTGTTCAATTCTGTAAGCTTGAAGTTAGAACACCTTGCCTACATTTGCAGTGAAACTTAACTACTCAGTGCAAAAAATCCTGATTTCCATAATTTGGGACTCTCAGGCTTATCACAAATGGGCTAAAAAATAAGCAATTTTGATATATGATGTTAAGCTTTCCAAGATTGATAGTTCCTTCCTTTATTGCCAGTAACAGTTAACAATCAGTACGGTCTACGTTTCGGCGAAGATCGCCTTCTTCAAGACCTGGAAGCGAGTCAACGTGTGCAGTAATTCACTCCAAGGGTAGACATACCTTCAACAATACTTGTAGGGTACGCCCACCACTCTGACAACGT